TGAAGTGTTCTGCCCTCGCGCTGTGAAAGGTGTGATCTACGATGTACTGGAAAGGACTCGAAGCGTGCCAAGTACTTTCTAGATACCGAATAATTGCTGCTTTGTGGTTGCTAACCAGAATTTTGCTCGCGTAAGTGAAATGTGTAGCCTTCTTTCCAAAGCATACAATGCTGGGCTGTCGCCCCTTCATCCGGCACAGCTTCCGACTGCTGCCGGCATTTCTTTCCATCTAGGCCTCTGCTTGAAGCCAGACCTACTCTTTGAATTCAAATGACAATCGTTATTACCATCTGGTCCGGTGCGCCTCTCTCCTCTGGGAGGTTTTTCTTTCCATTTGGACCTCTATTTATGGTCCAACCTACTCTATGAGTGTAATTAGCTACTACTAAGATGCATGTAGAAATACCGGGTGTTTTCCCATCTTGCTCCCATCTTCCCATCTTGCTCCCATCTTTCCATCTGCTTCCTATGTGCTCCCCATGTTATCTTCCGGAAATCCATCCAAGATCAGACAAGGACGGCCATATTCGACTGGCACAGAGCACAGTACGACAACAGACCTCAAACGTCCCCTATTTAATCATCATGTCTTGGTTTTTCCCTTAAGATTGGAGCCAGCCATCGTCCCAGCCTTCGTCTAGTAATATCGGCACAAACGCACCAGCTCGGTCTTGCTGATGACTGTTATAGGAATCACCCAGAAATGCCGGTTGAAGGTAGGATGCGATGACGATCATATCCCCGACTGAGCATCTTTATGGAGCGATGAAGAATACCTTAAGATCGGAGCATACCTTGGAGGGGGCCCGTTTTGGGCTGACCTCCTAAAGTCTTTATATAGGTGACCAGATCCCACCGACTGCGCTCAAACTTCAGCATCCAGCATCGAAACTCGCGCACTAAACCTAAGCTCTTAACCTTGGAAGAGGTGAGCCGAAGCGGATAACCATTTAGCGCCGTTATGAATCGAACCTAACTCGACATTTAGTAGAAGGGAGGTAACCTTGCGGGCTGCCACCATCAATCGCCAGGACACTAGCGGACACGACGGTGGGGATGTTATATGCGACCGATAGATCCGAAGGTGAGTAGCCCATTTCATAATATATGTTCTCAAATCTGTATTCACCGGCTTATCAACGGGGAGAGCGGACGAGATTCTCCAGGTTATGCCAACCTGGTCGTACGTGGAAGAGTCATGGGCTAATAATCATGATACTAGGGGTGCATAGCGCAGCTGTGGCAATTCATCATAGATTTGGGCGTCCGGTAAGCAAAAATCAGATCGTGTGTTATGAATTCAGAATTCTAAGTTCTTGGATATGCAGTCGGTCAATCTTATCAAAAAATCTCCGACCGGGCTTGATGTGTTTGGACAGAGAGCTTATTCGATTGAGCTCGACCAGCAGTTACGAAGCATAGTAGATTTTGGCCTCCTGTATTATACGAAGATAGTAAGCAAGCAGCAGAAAAGAACCATTCGATCCAATTCGATTCAATGAAGTCTCCTGTCTTCTGGGTACCGGAAACTTCGATCGGGCAGAGCAGAAAACCTACAGATACGAAATTCATGTACCTGCATCTTGTCAACAAGGATCGTACACTACATTCTACATATGTAGACAGGAAGACGTGCATTGATTCGGGGAGACATCTCGTATCTGCGTCTCTGCCTCAGTAAGAGCACTGGCAACTAGAACCCCTGAGGTCGCCGGGAAGCTGAAATCGGCGATGATATTTGAACGTCCGTTGGCTTACCTATGTAGCAATAGATACTTATAAAGAGCATCAGCTGCTCTTGACTGAGCCAGTTTCTCCTGTCCGACTTCAAGGCATCGCTGCTAGCCATTCTCTTTCGCTATACTCTATACTAGATATCACTATAATAGCCCAACCAATTCAATCATCAAGATGGTTTCGTACAGCTCTAACTCCCGAGCTCCCGCCAGCCGACCTCCTACTGGGCCCATCGACCCGTACGTGCTCTTCGAGGCCCTTACCGGCAGAAAGCTGGATTCAACCGTTCTGCCTTCGCGACAGGCCCCGGAGGGATATGATGATCTCAGCGATATCCGACCACCCCGCGTAGGCAAGAAGGATGAGATCAACCCCGATCCCAGACCCGACGATGTTGTTGTGGGCTGCATCAACCCCTTTGCGCTCGCTGAGAACATGATTGGCCACAAGATCGATCGCCAGTCCATCACCGCGATCCGCATCATCCAGGATACCCTCCAGACTGACTACGAGGAGCTCTTTGACATGAAGCACCGCTCGGTCCTCTACGCTGGTCTGAAGCTGAACAAGGAGCAGCGCGAAGCAGAGGAACTCGAGGAGGGTGAGACCAAGATCCTGAAGGAGAAGGAGTAAGCATACCCTTCCTATGCCTTGCCACTCGGCAACAATAAGCTAACATCCTAAAAGTCTTGTTACCCCGGATCTGAGCCGTGTTGAACGACTCAGCGATCTTGATGATATTGGAATGAAGGAGCTAGGCGACGTCCGCATCAAGCGAGCTGGCATCCTGAACAACAAGCTGCACCTCGTCTTGCACGCCGATGCGATTGCTCGAACTGTGAGCAACCGGGAGGTGACGCAGACCATCAACGACATCTGCCTGCCCTTCCGAGACGAAGAGGAGCGCAGAGACTTCACGCCTCCCAACAGCTCCTGGCGCGATGCCCGCGACGTGCTCATGATGCGCAACATGCGCCGGGGCATGATCTCGGACTACAACACGCTGTTCGACTACGGGGGATCGCGCGAGCTGCAGGCCGTGCGCAAGTTCGACGACCCGATCCAGGGCGCCACCGCCAACAGCTGGTTCGTGGCCGCGCTGTTCTCCGTCTACTGGGCGGACCCGGCCGTCATCAACCGCAACACGAACATGCAGCTGCGCTTCCGCAACCCCGGCAACAATAACGGCAACAATGGCAACAACGGGGACTGTTATGAGCAGCAGCAGCAGCAGCACCGCTTCCGCGCCAAGTTCTACGACCAGGGCGGCCGCAACAACAACAAGACCCAGACCGTCGAGGTCGACTACCGCGTGCCCGTGAACAACTCGAGCGAGGACTTCGTGTACTGCCGCTCGAGCGACGGCATGGCGCTCTGGCCGTCGCTGTACGAGAAGGCGTTCGCGAAATGGATCAGCGAGGGCAACAACGACAACGACGACCGCGACAACAACCGCGCCATCAAGAAACTTAACCGCGACAACAACAGCAGCAACGATGGCGAGCACGTGGACATCACGCAAACGCACCACGGCGACCCAGTGAAGGCAATGGCGCAGCTGAACGGGCGCGAGCCGGAGTACTACTTCACGGACGGGCACGACGCGTCGGACCTGGTGGGCCTGGTGCGGACGTGTAGCGTCAACCACCGGACCATCTGCCCGATGGTGGCGTGGACGCACGCGTCCGACCGCGGGACGTACCGCGGGTGCAACCTCGTGGCCAACCACGCGTACTCGGTGCTGGGTTGGAGTTCTGTCGGCCAGGGCGACAAGCAGTATATTATCGTCCGCAACCCCTGGGGCGTCACCGAGCCCCACGGCCTCACTTCCTACCCGGGGATCCTCACCCGCGTCGAGCCAGAGTACTGGCGCCCTGCTAGCTTGCTTGATCGTGAGGGCGTGTTTGCTGTGGAAGTGGGTGCGTTTAAGGAGTACTTCGCTTGCATTGGTGTCACTAAATAAATGGATATGCAATCCTAAGCGATAGGGGGTGTGCGGGTCGCTGGTTTCTGGGGAGGGGAGAGAAAGTGATGCCAATGGCTGTGTCGTCAAATTCAAAAAGGGGCGATGAAAACTTACACGATACCTACGCTTCTGGCCACACCTTTACACACACATGCTTGTCACCTAATCTAGCCCGACACTCTTGCGGCACCCATTCACGCTCAAAGTATTCTTTATATTTTGAAAATGTCACTCTCCGCATCTCGTTTAGTCTTTTGGCGCTGTTTGAGTGGGAAATCGGCATGGGAAAGTATGACTGGGCCTGTTCTCCTTCTCATGCGCGAGCATAGCACCTTTGATCAGGGCATCCCAACTCACTTGCATAGCACACACATTAATATCATTATGTTTCCTATGTCTCTGGAATTACTATCATCATTTGTTGAAGTATCATGCGTTCCGAGTTGGCTACTGGCGAGTCGGAAGGAAAAGGGGTAATGGTACGGAGCAGGTAGGATACATAAAAGGATAGAAATGTCTGGCTTTTTCACTCACATAATTCTGCCTAAGCTCTTGAAGATAAATTTCAGAGGAACATGTTTTTAATAAGTGACTTGTCTCGGTCTTCTGTCATTAGAAAAGCATACTCGTATATAGGACACATTGTTGTAGGCACCCCAAGCTTCTCTCTAGTGCAAGACGCGCATGATTTCTATAGGTACCTTGCGAAAGTCCTTGCCGTCAGAAATCACCACCTCCTTTTAGCGTCATAGGCAACATTCAACTTTGATATATCTAGCACAGTTGCTTTAGTGAGCCTTATCTTAACAAATCGGCATCTTGCCATGGGTTCTTGTGAGAATTTCCATGGATGCCGGCTGGCGCCTAGGCATTTCGATACTTGAAATACTCCGTACTGGTGGAAGAAACTGTGGGCTTAAGCCGCCTGCTCGTGGTGAACCTAGCAGATCTATTTCGAGTCTAATTTATATGCCGTAAGTTCAGGGCTGCGATGTTTAACACAGTGTGAAATCTAAAGTATGAGGTAATTAAGTAAAATGATGTAAAAAAACACGGCTAACTTGCCGTCGAGATGCGGCGACAACAAGTGCAAAGACCGTTTTCCCGCCAAGTCTAGCCGACCCGTGCCTAAAAACTTAGCCCACAGAATTAAGCTGAATTAGGTAAGCCCTTATCTAATCTGAGTTCAGTCGATACCCCCTCGGTGCGCGCCGTCCACAACGGCCATCGGACCAAAAGATTTCAACAATTTGCTCCGTAATGGAAGCAAAATATGCAAAAGATTTCGCAGAATCACTGGTCCCAGTGAGGCTTGAACTCACGACTTTCGCATTTACTTAATGTTATGGGGCAGATGACCCTATACTATTAGTACGACACTCTAACCAACTGAGTTATGGGACCTGTTGTGATTGCCAGCCTGGTATTCTGGCAGAAGAACGGAAAGGCTCGTTTCTGTCAGCGTGATCCATACTATTGATGGATTTTTTCTACGGAGTACTCAATTTCAAAAAGCCGGAGTACTGAGAGACAGCGAACGCCAAGCGGCATTCTCTACAGACCAAAGAAAAAGTCCTTTTTAGTTGACGTCGCCCGGTCGCTATAATGAGCTCGCGGATCGAAGTCGGCCTTGGCCCTGCCGGAGGTCGGCACCAGCTGAGTCAAGTTATCCTACGCGCCTTGAATTCGACGGGTGCCAGCTGATTCAATCAATCAAGCCCTCGGCGAAGCTTGGCGTCTTGTCTTCTTTAGAAAAGCTTGTCTGCTTGTTTGATTGGCCCTGTGCTTGGGGATCCAATTTTACAATATTTTCGTTTCGACATACTGCGTACTGTTTGCCTTTTACGCGGTGTCACCTCGCTTCCGGGTCCGAAGTCCCAGAGACGAGAAAATTGATCTAGAGACGAACACCGCGGAACCAATTTGTTGAGATTTTGTCTTCGGCCGAACCGATCCCAGGTATTACCATCCATTTGGAAGCGAAAAGTTTTTGGTTATGATCACGTTATATCCCGTGTAGCCTGTAGGTAAGACATATTAATTGACACTCCAAATTGTTGCCATGGCGTCGAATAGGCTAGGTTAGGTATTACTGCGAACAGTAACCTGGACATCAGCTGACTGACATAATCCTCGCCTAGTTCAGAGACTAAGAGACCAACAATGCCAAGCCATCTTAAGCCGCAGTAGAACATTCTGCCAAGTTACAGTGATCATGACGGCTACAGACGGTTCCTGAGTACAGAGTTACTTCTGTGACGGAAAATAAAATATTCAAGTCACGATCAGATCTTAGTGCCGTTCTTGTTTTTTGCTCGCCACATGGTCGATTCACAGCAGCCCTGCACATTTGTAGGACACAGCATTTGCGCGGACATTTCGAGGTTCGCATACCGAAAGTATACGCGTACACACGGACACTGCAAGGGATCCCGCCGCCATGGTTCCTGTGTTTGATTTGCCGACATCCCAACAGACGTGCTTTAGTGTCGTCGCCCGTGCGACTGATGCTGCGGTGGTGTCACCTTTTTGGCTATGTCGCCATTCGCCATTCTGTCTACGGTGCATGATTGAGCACGATACTGATGGCGAGATCAATCTCATCACATTCGACATCAATAAGAAACATGCACCGCATGCGTTGGCTGTCTCTACCTATTGGCCTGCGATCCTCCTCGGAAATATTTATAACCTCGCATGACAGCAAGCCTGCAGTGGGTTAGTGTACCTGGCAGCTGTTGGTTGCATCGATCTCGTCATTCTTGCACCATCTGGGCCAGACGACGGTGCTGCCGGACAGCCATTGGCCACTAATATAGACTAATACAGCTGCGAGCCCGCAGGCCAGCCCTTTCTTCGCTTACTTTCAGGCGGCGGCTTGGCCTTGGCCCGCCGGGTAGCCAGGGCCCGGCCAGGGGCAAACTATGGGGTAATAGTTATTCGATCGAATTCTTGCAGCTTGGTCTGATGATCACGATTCAGAGCGATTTCGTAACAGCAACTCGGTGTTTGCTAATTGCCTGCTGGCCTTCGCATCACGCGGCTACCCCGGATTCCACCTCCCTGCCGTTAACTGCTAAGCGCCGTCACGCCCAGCGCTAAGCCCTCCAATTTTCTCTTAGTTTTTTTTTCCCTCGTCCTTGACTCCTCTCGTATGCGCAGTCGAATGAGCAATAGTCATGGCTGCCCGTGGCTGCCCTCGTCGCTGTCGTCCACCCAACCCTTGGGCACTGAGGCCCCGGAACTGTAATTCTCAATCCGTCATGTCCCAGGTGCCATAGAAAATTTTACCATTGGCTACTAAAATCCTCTCATCATGTAACCGTGTACTACTTTGTCACACGCTTGGGCCCTGGCCCCGGGGTCCGGCCTTGGAACACACACCCAGGTCTGTTACCTGAGAAGAACCTTTCTCCCGCTACGCATCGTAAACATGACAAAGAGAAACCCACCCTAGACAGTTCAAGGTTCACGATGGAATGTTTAGCACGCTCATATATATAAAGGGCCCCCCTCCCATCTAGGGCTGGATGCTTCCCACTACGTGAACTCAAACTAAGAACGAAGCACACAGATCTCGAGAGATCCAAGCAACGTAAAACCTTATATCACACAATACAACACAACACATCTACACTACGGGATACTCGTACTTGTACAACAAAGAGTACTTTCTGTCGTCATCACCATACAACTCAAACCCACCAAATAAGAACAGCAACAGCTATGCCCGGCTTCACCATCGCCGAGCCGCACCCGACCGTCGGGCAGAACACATACACGCACTCCGGCCGGGGCGGCGCGGGGAACTACTTCCGAGCGCCGGCGACGACGCCAGCGAGCGGAGTACCTACAACCCAACCCAAGACAGCGGCACCCTCTGTACCATCCAACTTCTACTCGGGGCGCGGCGGCGCGGGCAACGCCTGCGTGTCCGCGACGCGGCCGCTGATGTCCTTCGACGAGGAATTCGCGCTCCAGAGCCAGGCCGCCTCCAAGCGCGTCGGCTATGTCGGCCGCGGCGGCGCCGGGAATGTTTATGATTCTGCGCATCCGTTTACTACTGCGAGTCGGCCGCGGCGCAAGGATAGCGATAGCTCGCACTCGAGCAGCAGCAGCAGCAGCTCGTCATCGATTGTTGAGCGCGTGAGCTCGGTTTTTAGCCGGCGCTGAGCCAGTGTCGCTATCAATTACTGCGACATGCATTACCTTTCTACTATTTCTGTCCTTTCGGATTTAATTATTTGCATTGGCCACGGCGCTACGGAGGGCGGAATTTCACTCTTCTCTCTCTACGAGATCACGGGCCCATGATGGGGCTGCCGGATGTCACCGCGATGTCAAACCATCTCATCTCTACGACTATTACGGGTGATTCATCACCATCACGACAAACCAAAAGTTTACTTGCTTCCTCTTGTTTTCTATATTGTTTTCATGTTTGTTTTACTTGTCTATTCAATATCTGGAATTTCACTGGCGCTGTGCGATGCGGTGCGGTCGGACGGCCATGAGCAAGCGGGCCCGTCCCGAACCAACCCACAAAAACAAGGGAGGACAACAACAAACAGGATGAGTGGGACTCGGAATTGGATCTTTTTGCTTTCTCAAATATACCCCCATACGACGCGGACCTGGAAAGGATTTCCGTTGTATATTTCCCAGCTGGCAGATTCTGGGACATGTTTCTTTAATTGAAAGAACGAGAGAGAGAAAGAGAAGAAAGAGCAATGATGGGGATGAAGATGAAGATGAAGATGAAGATGGGAGTGATACCGAAAGGTCTGGATCTTATCTGAAGTCATCGCGGACTCTTGTTATTTGGAGATATACATATCCAGTATAGAGCTACCAGAGAACAAGAAAGCATGACTCTTAATCTAATTCGCTCATATTTCGATGACAAAATTCCTGTTTCTACACTGTTCCGTCTAGGTTTCATGTATTCGACGTTGTAATACGGTGTATAAAACTAGTTATACGAAGTAGATAGCAGCAAATCGGCTTTGACTGGCTCGCATATGGATTCTTGACAGATACTTGATAACACAATGAATCATGCTTCAACAAATGGGTATCATTCATCTACCTAAAAGATGATTTACTTCTTCCATCATCGCTATCTCTCTTTCCACGTACCACTATCACACGTTGTTCCTATTCTCCACCTTCCCTTCTGCCGATCGTCAGCTCCACCATCAGGGCGTTATTACGCAGCAGACATGATATTGTAGGAAGCCCCGATGAGCCAGTCTCCCATATCTCGGCGGGCCACGCTTCCGGACATTGTTCCCAAGGACGTTGCCAGACCTAGTTCCGTGTGCTGCGTGTAAGATACAAAGGTGGGAAGAAAGGCACGAAGGCGAGCAGAGTTTGAGACCGGCTGTCTTTTCATTCAGTCTCTACGCGTGAGAGTGTTCCGCCTTCTCGTTCTTCTTAGATGTCGCATCTCAATTTATCATTAGGTTCGATTACGTGAGTTTCTTATGGATGATGTCGGGGTCCTCGTGCCAGTCGTCGATGCTAACCCACATCTATTGCGCGGCCAATCAGTAATTGTTCTCAGGCGTGGCGGTACGCAAGGCAAACAAAAGAACAAAAGAAAGAAAGACAAACCTTTCTAAATGTGCTAAGACCAGCCAGAATGCTGCCTCCTATCCAGGTCGAGTATTTGCGCTCCGGCGGAGCGAAGATCTTGATCCGCATATCCTTCACGGCCAGCTTCTTCACTTCGCTTAGTAATCGGTCACCGAACCCCTTGGTGAGCGTGCTGCCACCGGAGAGCACAATATTAGCATATAGCGACTTGCGCAGGTCGAGATCCGTTCGGTTGATGGCGTCTGTCACGATCTGATGTATACCGGGATACTCGAGCCCGATGATCTCCGGGTCGAAGAGAATCTCCGGGGCTCGGAACCGCTCTTGGCCGACGCGTAAGCGGTTGCCGTCGGGTAGCACGTACTCGGCCGTCTTGGACTGCTCTAGTTTCGCGCTCGACCAGTCCTTCTCTTCTTGCTTCGGGTTCAACGCCACGTAGGAAACGGTCTCCTTGATCAGTCGCACGACTTCCTTCTCGGCGCTGGTGTGGAAGATGTAGCCGCTCTTGCGCAGTAACGTCTGCATGTATTCGGTCACGTCGCGACCGGCTACGTCGATGCGCTGTATTGAGCTGGGGATCGCGAACCCTTCGTAGACGGGTACTGCGTGGGACACTCCGTCGCCGGAATCCATCACACAGCCGGTGGTGCGGCCGCTGGCGTAGAGGGAGAGGACGGCTTGGATGGATGTATACAGGGCGGGCACGTTGAAGGTCTCGAATAATATCTGGGCGGCGGTGTCACGGTTCGCGCGAGGGTTTAGCGGCGGCTCGGTCAGGAGAACAGGGTGCTAGCTATCGCGTCAGC